ATTAATACTAACAACAGTTGCCAGTCAGTCTTCTTGGTGATTGGTTGAAAACCAACACTAAGAGAGTCTGTCGAGTGTTGTGTGGTTGTTTTCAACTATTGCTAATCATCTTTGTAAATGGTTTAAGTGGGAGGGCTGTACCTTTCGGACTTCAATGACAATCAGAGACTAAGTGACCATTTGTATATAAACCTTTTTAATGTCTCCTACAGGATTGACCACCAATTTGGTCTCTAGCTTTATGTAGGCTTCCCAAAAAGAAGATGGCACATAAATTAATTTGATGCCACACTAATTAATCTAACCCCACTTCTGTATTTTATTTTATTACTTTATATCTAACTCAGAAGTTGGTATACCCACCACTCAAAAAGTCTCTGCAAATGTGTTTGATCACTGATCTAGAAGAATTTGAGCTTATTTGGTTTAATTTTTCTAAAGACATTTTTCTGTTCTAGGTGGTGTTTTGAGAATTTGGAACTTGATTAAGAATTTGATTCAATTTTTGTAAACAGTTCTCTAAAAACAAATATGTAGTATATATTTTTTTAATTGAGTTTTGAAAAAATAATTTTTAAAAAATTGACAATCAAACGAGAATCTAAAAATTTTTGTAAGCAGAAAACTAAACCAAACAGATTCATAACTTTTTGAAATATCTTTCTCATTTTTTTTAAAAACCATTCTCTGTATATTTCATAAAAGCGAATTTTTTGAGAATTCTAAACTCAATTAAGAAAATGCCTAATTTCGAATAAGTAAGGGCTTGCTTGGTTCAATTTTCATAAAACAATTCTCCTTAGTCTGAAAACAAATATTTTTTAAACCGGGCTTTGGAAAAACAACTTTTAGATAATTGACAACTAAACGAGAGTCTGTAAATTTTCAATTCTCTGGTAGTAGAAAACTAAACCGTTTTTTGAAAACCATTTTCTGTATATTTACATAAAACTGAACCAAACAAGTCCTTCATATCTAATGCTCAAGAATCACAGCATTCAGGCAAGAAGTGATGCTTTACCCTGTATACCACTCCCAAGAGGATGGCCATTTTGAACATCAATACCTAACAAATTGTCCTGTCTTATAGAAACAATGTATCTGTATGGCCAGACATACAACACCTAAAGAGATGAGATTAACGAAATGATGCGAAAAACACAATCTTGATACTTCATGGAGCACGTGTGCCGACTCAAAACAATATGAAAATCAATCTTAATGCTTAAGCCAAACTGTGGCCAATAAATATACAGTTGACAACAAAACAGCATAAAACAATCATTGTTTAGTAATTAGTATCTTTATCAAATGTATTCAAGGAACATTTATGGATACTGAAGAATGCATTAAACTATAGGCTCTGCAACGTTATGTGCTAAGAACAATATAAAGAAATGCCCCACGAGCGTAGCGCAGTTGTATGGTAGGACGTACTTTCGGTGCTGGACGAACCATATCCAGTGTACCAGTGTGGATTCGAATCTCCTCCGCTACACAAGTCTGCAACTTAAATCTCACCTGTGTCATGGGGCTGGTACGGGTGGGGGTCCTCCAATTAGAAGACCTCTAAAAAGAAAACAATATAAAGAGCCATGCATAATCATATCAGATGGAAAAACTGTTTATGAATAGATCAAGATAGTTATATCATTAATCTACAACAATGGTGCCTTTCCCAGCTTTTTAACATCCCTGAAAGGGATCCTATTACCTTTTTTTTCCCCGGAAATTAAAGCAAACGCACATACCCACATAGGGGGGGCTCAAACTCGAACTCTCAACCTCTACTTTGGAGAGGATAGATCATATCAACTGGGCTAGTGACCAAGTGGTGAAAGAGGTCCTTTTAATTTTTAAATTGAATCACCTACAGTTGTAAAAGCACACATTTCTTCAGCATAGAGACCACATGTTTTGTACACATTTTCTTCAGCAAAGCAGACCACATGCTTGTAAAGAGAGAGACTGCAATTTTGTAGTACAAAGAACAAATTTCTATGTTCCATTAAAAAAATAATAATAAATTAGGATGGGCAACGGTACAAGCTCAATATAAAAGCTAGGAAAATATATTCAAATTTGAGAGTAACCACTTTGTACAAAATAATCAACCACCGGGCAAATCCAACTCAGATTATTGTATAGGAATGAAATGCAATTCTGAAACCATCTTTTTCCCATTTCCTTCCTTGTCTCCTTCCGATAATCCAGGTAGTGAAATGAATTATTTCTATCACAAACAAAAAATATTTCAAGGGATCATGAGAAGGCAGCAGCACATTGCATGCTTCAACATCATCAAAATTATTTTCCGAAGCTTGATTTGACATGCTATCCTATGAGGAAACAATATCCATATCATGATTATCTTCATAAAGTACATAGTATATGCGTATGCGTCACAATCTGCTTAGATCTATCCAAGACACTGAGATTTCATACTTGATCAGAAGGACAATTATTTGGGATTGATTTCACTCGTCATTATAATAGAATAATTAATCAGAGGACATTCTTTGAATAATTTCTGCCCTGACACAGTTGGGATTGTAAAGGGTCATTGGTCAGTGAAACAATGTCATGAAGGATAAGATGTTGAAGAGCTTGTCTCTACAAGTCAGGTGTAAAAGAACAGGTCCTTCCCATCCAACCACAACTTTGGGATCTCAAGAATTATACAGTAAATTATTCAAGAAAGGGGAAAAACTTGAGGCTAAGAGAACATACAAGATAGAAAATCCCAACCCTAATTTTCATGGCTTGCTTGTAGTATTCTAGACATTAGGTCAACACAGTTGGACATATGAGATGGAATCAGATTTATTTTGTTCGTCATTGATGGGTAGTGTGGAGCCTAATAAATACTTGGAGGGTATTTTGGTATATTCCGCACTTGTTATATTGCCCTAGTCCGAGGGTATTTATTTCGTTCTGAACTCTCTGGATTGTGTGCCGCTTTTATGAACATAGTGAAATCCCTGCAATCCGTGGACATAGCCCTAGTTTTTGGGTGAACCACGCTAAATTTGTGTGCTATTGGTGTGTGTTTGATCTGTTTTTTTGTTTGATTTTTGCAACAGTTATCAGGACATATTTGAGAAAGTACTGGAAAATGGTTAGAGAAATTTGTGACTATATTATGAATTTCATAATTAATCCATAATAAACACATTTACATTGGAAATTAAAGACAATTATAAGAAAATTTTCACATAATTACAATTTGCAGGTTTGCCCTCTCTCTCTACCTGTTTCTGAGTTTCATCTTCAGATCTAGATGAAAGTATTTTGGAGACCCAAAGTTCAATAGTTTAATACTCTAGACAATAACTTATGGCTACTGGGTTTCACTTGTATTTCAACAATCAAGCAGAGTCAGGAGGTAGTGGACAAATAATTTTTTTTTTACACTCAACAATGAGCTTAGGAGATCCTAATACCAAGATTGAGAAAGATGATAGAATTTATAAACCACATTAAAATTCAATATAGGTCCCCCAAAGGCAAATAAAAAAATAAAAAAAAATAATTGGAATCACCCTGAGGAGAATCTCTGGCCTGGCACTGCACAAATATGATCTAGGCATATATATCATATATGTATGTATCAAGAACGAAAAAATGTGATTCTTGCAGTAGTATATTTCTTTTCTTTTTCCTCTTAATGAAATACTTTCAAATTTTAATTAAATAATGTGCTAAATACAATCTTAAAGTTACTTATCAAAAAAAAATACAATCTTAAAGTCATTTGTGCCTCTTTATCAGTTTAAACTATTAGGACAACTCATTCTTAACATAGTATCAATGTCAAAAGTTCAAAGTTCAAATCACAAACCTTTCTGATTAAACACATACCATTGACACCACATGTGAGAATGTAAACAGAAGAATTACCCAATGCATTTTCACCAATCAAGAAGAGTAAAACCAAGCACTGTAAAATGGAAATCAGCACAATTGTTAAGTTGAGATTTAACGTTTTGACATACCTGCATTAAACTACCAAATGCAACAAGATCATGGCCTGTTTAAAACACAGTAAAGTATAAGTTACCAGCAAAAAAGAAACACATGAAAAAGTTAATATTAAAGTGAAGCAGAAAATATATATATATATATATATATATATATATATATAAATATTTATTAGAAGTATAATAGCGTATCAGATAAGGGTCCATTGAAGACTCTTAAAACAAAGGGAAAAAGAAAAAGGAAAAAACAAGAAAGAAAGAAAGAGATATGAGGTCCTTTCAGTTAGAAATACCTTACAAGGGCATTAGGAATTGAACTTTTTGGGGCCCTATTAAAAAAGATCTTCTTCCTTGTCATATGTGTTTGGATACAACAGGGTCAACAAAACATTTCATTCTCTGTACTCCCTCCTGTTTGTGTGGGGTCTGCTAACCAAATACCTAGTAAAATATAATTGTAATTATGGAAATGGAAAATAATTGTTACCACATGAAGAAAGTTCATGCGCAAAAAAAGTCAAATGTGGTGGGCCACTTGCATATTTGCAACAAGGCAAGCCTTCACAACAGAACTTGTTTACATGCAACTTGAAACACAAGTACATTACTCCATTTAAGGTGCATGCATACGATGTAAGTTATGCCTCCAAGTGTTGACAGATGTAGTAACAGAACCATTAACCCTATAGAAAGTGTAATAAGGGCGATCCTAGTGCACAAGGCTCCCGCCAATGCGGGGTCTGGAGAGGGTACGCAGCCTTACCTCGCATGTGGAGAGGCTTTTTCCGTTTCAAATCCGTGACCTTCAGGTCACAATGGAGCAACCTTACCGTCACACCAAGGCTCACCCTCATATAGAAAGTGTAATTAAAAAAAAACACACACACAACCAATATTGCACAAGAACATAATTGCATGGTGAGAGAGAATCACCAGCTTGGTGGGAGGGGGTCCTGCTACCACTTCCCACTTGGTCACATGATTTGATCTTGACAATTAATAGCCAGCCAAATATTGTAACTTTCTCCATGTTTCTCTCCACCTGCTTCTGTCTCAGGCCCTTAGATGCTTCCTGGACCTGTTTGGCATATTAAAGTCACTTGGCTAATTATGAAAGGCTCAACTTTCTCACCCTCTCATTACTACCAGAGTGATCATACAACAAGCTTCATCTGTGAAGAAACATCAAGAGAAAATGAAGGTAAGTCCAAATTTTATTGAGCTTGGATAGATCAAATTAAGCTGCCTTCAATACTTTCTCATTTCATCCTTGCATATCTTCATTGCAGTTACTTGGTTGGATGCATCGTAAGTTCAAGCAAAATAGCAATGAACCATTCAAAGATTTTGGCATTGGTAAGTGGTCGCTTTATTCTTATAGCTGGAAAAAAAATTCGATATGAACATAATATGAATCACATAACAAGCAGAATTGAAAAACCCATGAACCATGACGTATGTACCATATAAAAAATTTAACATCAAACTATAAGATCCATCATTTGTTTTGAGACGCATTAGAAACAAAATATTCAAAGTGACACTCCTGACTGCTGTTAAGTACAAGGGTAAAATCATTTCAATTGCCTTCTAACATTTGTTTTGTCAGGGAATTCTTGCACGTGTCTTTCAGGGCAGCCATCACTAGATGAACAACAATACTACTCCAAATCAAACTATGGCACTAAGTCCTTAGGCAAAGCACACAGAGATGATTACCTTCGAAAATCATTTGCCAGTGTGGAAACAGCGAGAGGAGAAGATGATGACTTTGAAGAAGAATCATCAGCTGCACTTTCTGAGCTCTTCCATGGTTTCCTTACTATTGGTACCCTCGGTTCAGATGCAGCCATCACTGATGCATCAACACCAACATTTGCCATCTCCGTTGAGACCATAACCGAAAAAGAAACTGAAGTAACAGAGAATGAACTGAAGCTAATTAACGACGAGCTGGAGAGAGTGTTGGCAGCTGACGATGGTTGCAATGAGTCATCTGGGAGAAGCAGTCTTGTTAGCACTGGGAGAAGCAGTCACGGCAGCACCATTACACTTAGCGGGAAGCCAATAGAAGGTGTGGAGGCAAATGGGAATGGTACGACAGTCTGTCCACTACAGGGCTATCTCTTTGGTTCCGCAGTTGAGTTGCCAGAAACCACGACAGTAGCAAAGAAGGAACATCGAGTATCGCTTGGCGAGCTGTTTCAGAGGACCAAAACAGCAGAGGAGTACTTTTCAGAAGCTAAATACACGAGGGAGGAAAAGCAAGCAGAGAAGGAAGATAAATCTGCTGTGTATTATATGAAAAAGAAGCTGAAGAGAAGACTTCTCAATGCTTCTCGGGGCTCCAATGTAGCTACTGCGGGAAATGTTGATTCTGGTTCAACGGAGACAAAACTGCATAAGGTATGTCTAACTGTCTACTAGCGTTGGACACTAGATAATCAACGTTGAACTCTAAATACAGCATATTTTGCATAAGTTCTAGGGGATCATTATGAAATCATCTGTATTATGATTACAAAGAATACACTGTGAATAAACCAGTTTGTGGTTCATAGACACCTGATTGTTGATATAAACACTAACAAACGGATCTCCAGTTTCTGCATACACTTCTTGTCTATCACAACAAACCCACGGCAAAGCACAAACACAATCAAGAATTGACAGAAAACGAAAATCACACACCACACAAAACACAAAGATTAACGTGGTTCGGCTAATGGCCAACGTTCACACCTTCACAGTCAAGATCAGTAAAGTGTTTTCACTATGCAAAGATGAAAGGAGATTACAAGTCTCTCATGTCCTAATTCCGGTACACCCTTCTGTGGCTCTCTCACTCTCTATCTCGGTTTTTCAGTGTTCTCTCTTAAAATAAAACATTGCTTATAACCAAATATCTCTAATTACTATTGTCATCAGTTTGACCAACCCATGAAATTTCCAAAAATTGATATTCCCAACTGTGGGCATTTATACGGAATGGTGCAATTAATCCTCTAGACAGAGCCTAATGCTAAAGTATTTACTCTTGATGAGTGTGACTTCGTTCATGTCTTACCAGCTGTTGTTGGGATGGGGGGTATCAAACCCAAAAGGTTAACCAATTAGGTGGAGTGACCTTTGCTCCATAAAAGTCCCAGATTTCCTTCTTCACCAATCGATGTGGAACTCGTTCAACTGCCCAACAACCCCCCACTCGAACGAGGCTCTCCAGTGGATAGAACGTCACTGGCCATCGTGGAGTGACCTTTACTCCATAAAAATCCTAGATTTCCTTTCACCAACCGATGTGGGACTCGTTCGACTGCCCAACAATCCCCCCTCGGATGAGGCTCTCCGGCAGATAGAACGTCACCGGCCATCGTGGAGTGACCTTTACACCATATAAGTCCAAGATTTCCTTCTTCACCAGCCGATGTGGGACTCGTTCGACTGCCCAACACCAACCAACCAAAGAAGAGAATTTACCAAGAGGATCACAAACCATTAAAAGCAAGAGACAAACATCAATTCTACCCAGGACACAGCCAATTTACATAAACTAAATTGACATAGTGTGGTTGACTGTATCGATTGTTGTCATTCCATTTGTACAAAAGCAACACAAATCCCACATTCTTTCAAAGTAATTTACTTAATTTGAATTCTACAGGATGCACTTACATGTCAAGGTTATTAATTTTCAGTTGAATTTCCTAATTCTGTAATGAGTGGCATGCAGATCTTACATATGTTCCACAGGAAAGTTCATCCTGCAAATTCAACAGCGACACAAAAATCTGGAAAGCCCCATAAAGAAGAGATCAAGAACAGCATATCCTATGAAACAGGGTATAACAATGGATACCGGATTTCATCAGATGAAGATCACATAATATATCCACGCTTCTTCAAGAGCCAGTCTAACCCACCTCAAGAAAAACTCAGCGGAAGTGATTCAAATGGAAACAGGGAAAACTGGATTAAAACAGATGCAGACTGTAAGTATACCTACGTGCACCACATACCCATAATTCATTCTAAATATCCTCCTTGGATTTTTCATAACTTATCATGATTATAATCTGAATGTGCAGATTGTGCAGAACCTGAGTTGTAATCCATATTGGCATTTATTACATCACTTTCCAATTGATGGAGATGTAAATCTGCCATGTTTGCTCTTGCTTTGCACAAAGCAAAGACCTCATATTTTCATAAAACACTTTTCAGAAAACTGCGACCTAAAAGAGGCCTGCTTGGTTTGACACTCATAAAACTGTTTTCAGAAAACTATAAAAGACAGTTGTTTAAAAACAGATATTTTTTTAACTGTTTTCAGAAACTGTTAACTAAACAGTTTTCTGTACAGTTTTCTGATTTTCAGTTCTCAGAAAACAGAAAATTATTTTCAAAAAACTGAACCAAGTTGGTTTCTATATAGTTTTCTGATTTTCAATTCTTTGAAAAAAGAAAACTGAACCAAACAGGCGCTTAGTATTTGACCCAACTAGCTGACTTGATTCCATTGTTTGTGTTGTAGACTTGGTGCTGGAGCTCTAGAAGGCAGGAAAAAGCAGTGTGGTTTGATTTATGGATTTTGAATAGTAAGAACTTTTACTATGTGTGTAAGATTTGCCATCAGTATCTGAGTGACTATGTTATAAGAAGCTTGAAAAGAACAATAGAATAAAAGAGGTCCCTCTCTTATTATCCATGAGTAGTCCATGTATCAGACATGATGCATTTATCTGAAAATAAAGTGTGATGTATCAGTATTATCCCTGAGTTTCTAATGAGCTGCCAGTTATTTCTTTTATAGCCATATAAACTAATTTAGACTACACAACCAAAAGGGTATATGCAGATCTTCTAGCGAATCTAGCCAAGTAATTATTTGTTATAGTCTCAACAAAAGTTACTTTCTGAAACAGCGCTGAAAGGTGTTGACCATTTTGAAACAAGTGTATGTTTCAAGTTGAAACATTAAGATGTATCTTGCGGGGGAAATCATTCTAACCCAAGAATAATCCGAGTTTAACCTACGCTCAAAAGATAAGCTTCATTTGGCTTTGAGTTATGCTCTTCGGGTTGGAGGCTACTTGGGCTTCAACTTGCAACAAGGATTCTATCCCTCAGCTTGAACATGGGATGACTCCTCCCTCAACCTGCCCAATTTCCAAGTTGATGCCCTAATAATTCATCATCATCGTCGTCATCCCCCTTGCCTTAATCCCATATGAATGGGGTCGGCCACATGAATTCTCTCTCTTCAATATTTTCTATTACATGCCATTTCCCCTAATAAATATGTGCATCAATAAGAACTAATCTCAGCACGAAGTGGAGACACTATGGTTAAATAAAAAGGGGGAAAAAAGAGTAAAATGATTTATTAATAGTTATGTTTTGTTCGGTAGGAAGGAATGAAGAGGGGTGGAAGGAAAATAGGAAGAAATGAACAAACTTCCTTCGTTTGATAGAGATGATATAAGGAAAGAAAGGATAATAGGATGTCTGAGTTATCCTTCCTCCTTCAGAAATTTTCATCCGTCCAAATATGGGTGGAAGAGAGGAGAGACGACAAATGGGCCTATTATATAAGCTCTAAAGAGATGAGAGAAAACAAATGGGCCTATTATATAAGCTCTAAATTACTGCATCATCCTTCATAAATATTTAATATATCCCATGAATAAAGTAAGTGATGGGTTTAATGGTAAAAACAACTTAAAAATCTCTATTTCCTTTATCTTACCAATCAAAGTAAATTGTCAGTTTACCGAACAAAAAGAGGGAATAACATAATCTCTTCTTTAGAGATGTGTCATTTATCTCTTCATCTCTCCCTTCCATCCAATTTTCTTCCTTACGAAGCATTATAGTACAAATAATGGTTCTTCTATTTGGGTGCACTCTCCTTTTAAGCACTTTTTATAAAATCCTACTTCTCAAAAAATAAAAAGTTCATGTATTTGAACACCGGTCATCTATAATAGAACTTGTCTGCCAAGTTAATTTCATACCATCACAAGGGGAGAAGTAAGTACCACTGCATAAAATTATCCAAGAAATTTCACTTTGAAACTGATAAAGCTCCAAATTTGAATTAAAGATAGTTGAACCTATTGAGTATGATCTCAAAAGATACTGAGGAATGATAAAGTTCTCTTTATTTAAGAGGAAAATTATAAATCTCTAGGTGCAAACTGTAAATCTCACAAAGTTAAACCTCAACACGTGGGACAAGAAACACCATCTCCCCAGCCATACATGTCTCCCACCATGTCCTATTGGTTTGGCCATATCCAGCACTGGTCTCTGACCATTTTACAGAGATAGACACCACATTCCTTCCGAAATATATTCACCACATATCACTGCAGCTCTCTCTCTCTCTCCACTGGGAAATTCCTGTCATCCTACGTGTACTACCTTCATCTCACAACCGAACAAGGCTCCCCTTGATGCACTCTGGTGAAGTCCAAATGGATTCCACTTAAATGCATCCGAAGAAAAGCCTTTTGACATTCCACGTCGCCTGGGTGGAGAAGTTCCCGATACTAAAAAGGGGAAGTGTGTAAAGCAGACAATATCTACACAATATCAACGATTCAGCAATAAAACTATATCACGAAATAATAAGTATTAAGACAATAGCAATCTGAACCACACCTGAAATAAATGTCAAATGTCATGTCACTGTTTTATTGTGCACACCAAGGATAACTGAATTAAGTGAACTGATAGGGCCACCTATTGAGTTAATACTGAATAGGACAAGAGTGCAATTAGTCCATGAATCAGGTTGAGCATTCATAGATAAATATAAAATTAAAAATGGCTAATTCAGTGTATAAGACTCCGTCATTGTCAAAAGAGGGTCAAATTTATAGTCTTGCCTCCGCATATAAAGAAGTTATTTCGGTTTCAAACCCGGAGCAACTTCATCATTGCACCAAAACCCCCCATCATCTTAGAACATTCATGAATAACCTATTCTGATTTCAGTGCTATCCATCATTCAAAATGTCTTGAATATCGATCATTCAACTTGTATAAAAATTTTCATACAGCCCAACTGCAAAATCAACTTTTGAGCAACACACAAACAAAATAAAGAACCACATTTTTCGTTTGGTTTCTGAGAAAATACGGAGAAATAAAAGAAAGTTTGGAGGACAAACCAAAAAAAAATCATTCATTCGCACGAGCTTTAGAATGCCATGTGGCTCAATTGAGCTCTGTGTGTGTGTGTTTTCCCTCGAAAAACAAAAGAATAGCGACCACAAGAATCAAGATTCAATACTCGGCACATAAACAGAAAAAAAAAATTGGTTCATCGGACTTGCCTGGCGGTGATTGATTTTGGGAGTGGCATGCCGGTGATCGAAGGTTCGAGAATTCTCAACCACAGATTTTTGTGGGACCCGGTCCCACCATAAGGCAAGGGAATAATCTAACTTCAGACGAAAGTATGTGGCGTTTTTCGTTTGGATTTTCAAAATAGTTCTTCAAAATGAAATTTTCTTAGGTGTTTAAAGGTAATTTCCCTTTTTCTTTTGGTACAGTTGGTTAGAAAGACTCCTGCCAAGTGGATCCGGTGGAAAGTGAAAAAATTGGTACATCGGACTATTCAATTATTTTAATTTTTGAGTTAAAAGGTAAAGATCACTAATTATTTAATTTTTATATTATAAAAAGAGTATCTGATCTATTATAGTTAATATTAGACATAGGCTCAATTTTTTATTTGATATCATGCTAAGTGCGCATGGTAAAAGTATTCGAGTTTCGAGTAAGCAAGATAATACAACCGCAAAGAGAGCATTGCATGTTGGAATTGAAGAGAATATAAACATCTTACCCATTATAAAAATATATATATATATTGGTCAAGTAAGATTAAAAAAAAAATCATTTTGTAAAATTATTTTTCAGTACAAAATGAAGATAATTTACAAACCAACTACTCCCAAAACATATCTATTACATGCATTCACATGTTAATCCTTATCATAGTTTTCAAATTATAGGCCAGTCCGCTAATTTTTTTTTTTTTTTTCCTCGTTGCAAGAATATTAGAAATTAGTCGTTAGATGAGAGGAAGAGGATGTAAGGCTCAAACACGACTCCTAGACACAAAAAACAACCCAACCAATTTTTTTTTTTTTTTTTCATAGTAGAAATGTTAGAAGTTTGTTGTTAAATGAGAGGAAGAGTATGCAAGGCTCAAACACAACTCCGGACACAAAGAACAACCCCACAAAACAACCCCATTACTCAAGCAACACGGCACTAGCGAGCCGGTCCGGTTTGGGAAATAGAATAGAATAAAAGAACAATAAACGAGGACTGACCTTATGTTTATCACAAAATTATGAAGGGAAATGGAGGGGGTAAAAGGTTTTTTATTCAGGTCTAAACTTCGACTACTTTTAAAATACAAACAATTCTTTTAAAACGTGTGTGAATATCAATTACAAAAAAAAGTTTTTTTATTTCTATTGTTTATAGAGAGAAAAGGAGGTATTTTTTTATTTTTATTGCTTTTAGAGAGAAAATGAGGGATTCACCAACCTCAACATTATTTTGTTGTCCCCAAAATGGGAAGAAACTTCATAATATTAACTTCACCTAGCTTAAATTCAATAAAATAAGACTACAATGGCCTAGGTCCAACGACATTGGATAGAGTTAGGAATTAGTTGGATTAAAAAAATAAGGAGATTCGAACCTAAAAACATAACCCTTTACAACTTGCACAACACCAACACCGCCATAAAGGGGTCTATCATGTCCCATTATTAGAAGATTAAATTGTTTAGTAAAACTTAAACAAGAGAGAGATGAATTTTACGCGCTAATTGTAAATTGAAATTTTCTTTGATACTTGTTCGATCACAACATAACATATCCAATGGTGCCCCCAAAAAAAAATGACTGGAATCGCAAGAACATTGATGAATGTGAAGTGCAGCAAATTCCGTTCTCTACACGCTGTAATGAAGAATTATGCAACAACAGAAGAAAAAAATGAAACACTAAACATAATTGAGAGTACAACAATGTATGCCATTAGCATGAACTGTCCATGAAATCAATCAACAAGTCCTGAACCATATCTCTATCTGGCATCTTTCCAGCAGCACCATATATTGGAGCAAGCCCTCCCTTAATTGGACCCGGGTTTTCTTTCACCTGAAATATAAAGTATTAAACTTATAAAACCGACGCACATAAACTATATACAAAAAGGTTAAATCATCATATCTGTTGGCAATCACAACATTCTGATCAAATGGCTACTGGAATTTTAATCATTAACAAGTAACTTACAGTTTGCACAGAATTCCTCAGATCCTCCAGGAAGTCCTCCACGACTAATACGTGTTGAAGGGTTATGCAGATATGAATGCTGATAAAAAGCAGAGTCGATTTTTCAGAATAAAAATGTACTTCACCCCTTGATAGGTACGATTTAAAATTTATAAGTGACGATAATTGGAAAATACGGAGTATTGTATAAACCATTCTTGCTGCCAACAGCGCAGATGACTATTACAATAAATATTCCCAGTTTCAGATTTTCTTGAGTGAAAAACACACCTATTAGGCCTCTGCAATGCATTCAAATGCCAGCCTTTAGATGACATAATGTCATTAACTTCGAATATGTCTATAACATTAGATCCAAAAGCCACAATAGTCATGTCTGGCCTTCCAATTATAAACAACTCGGCAATCTCCTTTATTCTGCAAACCAAGTAACATTAGCTTCTAGCAGTCTTATTTTCTGAAATACCATTCAAAATTTTATGTAATGAAGAAACACACCCTTTTTGCAATCTCTTAGACGCTTCCATAATCTCTCTCGTCTTCTCCAAGTAACCTATAAAAGGTAACAAACAAAAATCACTTACAAATCAAACACTTGCCAGAAGACGTAAGCAATTAGAGAAAGCGCACAGTAACTACGGGATCTTGCAACTTATCAAGTAATGTCTATCACCTTCTAATCCTAAAGACATCATTGCTGCCCAAGCCCCAGCAATTAGACCCCCAGGCCTGCTTCCAGCAATTGTTGGAGATACATAAAGCCCACCAGACCACTCAGTAACTGCAGTAAGATATAAGCAGAAGAGGATACACAGATCCATGAGAAATTCATTTCAACAACCAGGCAGAACGTGTTTCTTTCAACGACTAACAACAAAATAAATAATGACAAATCTTGTCTGCCGATGAGTATAAAGTGGCAAGAAATAACTGTAAATTTACTAGGGTGCCTTCTATGCTTTCAGAGATTGTTTCCTTGTGATTTTTTTTTGATACAAAGATTGTTTCCTAGTATCATGCAAAGGAAGCATACGGTCCGAGTGTTGTGCTTTCCACAGTGGTCTAATCAAACCTCATTTCTCTATGTCTATTGCAACACAAATCGTTCAAGTTTTCCACAAAGAAACAGGAGTGTTTTGACATAATTAAAAGCCAAAAGTTTGTTTAAGAGGAAAGCAACTTACCGGCAACAAATTGATGCTGTTTAATGAAGCCCAATAGTCATGCAGCACACAGATCATTAGTACCCCGCCAACAAATATGCAATGACAAGTGAACAAGAAAGAGTTGATACAGAACCAGGAAACAATAACGTTATCAATGAATAATATCTACTTTTTTTTTATTATATGAAGATTGAATGACATGTACAGTTCAAGAAAAATGTCTAAATCAATTTCATAACATCATTAATAAGCTATCCATGAGAGACATTATTATTATCTTACAATAAGACAACAATAATCTGTTATTATATATAATTTAAAGTCCATTTATTAGGTAAATGTCATAAATTTAACACTTTTCTTGAATGGTGGCATATTAGAGTGAAGAAAGTCATGTCATTAGACAGTCCTCCGCTGGGAACAAGATATGATCAAACTCTTTTCAGTAATCTGATATGTAAATGTTTTCCAGGAATTGATCATTAATTTCATTGTGTACAGGAACGGACTATAATGAAATGATACAGAAAACATGTGATACTCCAGGCTTATCCTGTCTTGATCTCATAAATAGGATCAGCAAATGAAGAAAATATTGGATATGGTGTTTCATCTTTCAAGAAAGATATACATGTTTATAGGTGATTACTGAAACAAAATTTCATCGTTCTAAGATCTTCCCCCCTTCCTTTCCCTTAACCTCCCTACTCCCCCAAAAGGCCAAAACTAAAAAACGGAAAAAGTAAAATGTAAAAGAAAAGGAAACAACTGATGGATCACTTACCTTTCGAATGTCATGATTTCTGTATAGAACTACACTTGTTCCTTTGGGAGCCAACCCATATTTGTGCACATCCACTGATATCGAGGTTACTCCTTCGACTGAAAAATCAAAAGGTGGAATAGGATACCTAAAAAGTGAAGGTTTATTATTAACAGCAAAAAATGACATCCTCAGGTAAATGGAGATACCAGTAATGGCCAGACAGACTAGACAGTAGCTAACAACTTATGGGATACTGCACAACATATTTTTCATAGGGACTTGTTCTAAGTCTCAATATCAAATATAAAGATGGGCACACAGTTAGGAGATCCACATTATAGAGACATTAAGAGGCTCTTATGTGCACTTAATGACATTTTGAATTAAAAGCAACAGTAATCCATGCAATGGAAATATGTCAACAAAAAATACTGTTCAAATGATGGATATAGTTGACAAGCGGATCTATCAATGATAGACAGGCAATCTGATACTTCAGTAGGTCAATATAACTGTGGCTGAATAAAGACACGGCTGCCATCACGAAAAAATGAATAACAAGAAAAGAAGGCTCAAAACAAAAACTTTGATCTTGTGATGGATGTGGTGTCCAGTTGCAGCTCTTCAGTGCACTAGGGGAGCCACACTGGAGTAAAAATTAAGACCAACTGACGAAACAAAAAGAAAGCGCCTTATAAATAGGAAATTGAAGTCCAGAATAGCTTGATTAAAAGAAACAAATTACTTAAAGAAACATCTTAATACACAATTTCAAGCCAGACATACCCAAGTTTGCGAGCGAAAGGCAATACGAAGCCACCAAGACAAAGGTCAACATGGAAACAGATTCCGAAGCCAAAAGCTAATTCACCAAGCTCCTACAAATGGAATTGCAATGTTCTTTAACTGAAAAGCCAAAAGAATTATGTTGAACTTCATATAAAAGATAGTGTCACATACCTCAATAGGATCGATGATGCCATGTGGGAAGCCAGGTGCTGACCCAACAATCTGCAGATTTATGAATTTAAGTTAGTTGAACTTATAAACACAAGTCACCTCACCAAAAAGATAAACATAAATCTTAAGTTGGAAGGGAATTGACTAAAAATTCACGAGTGGCCAAAACTGGAAAGTTAGTGAATTGAAATGCACTCTCACAATATCTTGGGAAAAAATGTAAGGAAATTGGAATAAAATCAGGAAGCATAGTCAAGATATGCATACCAATATGGTATTTCTGTTGATAAACCGTTTAATCGCTCTGACATCTGCTTGAAATTCTTTGTTTACTGGCACACGCCATAGCTTGATGTTGAAATATTGTGCAGCCTTGTCATATGCAGAGTGTGCAGATTCAGGTATTATCCTGTGTTTGGAAAGAGAAAGATGTATATAATTGATTCTCAGATACTGAATAGAATTGCAGCAAAATAAACAGCATATTATCAAAATAAATGTACATTTCTGGTCTTGTTATTCTTTTCTTAGCTTTCATATAGTCACGTGACGATTTCACAGCTAATAATATACTTTCAGTTCCTCCTGATGTCATGTTTCCACATACTTGTCCTCCAGAAGCCTTTTCTTTACTTCCAAGTAGCGCAGCTGTCATTGCGACTACTTCTGTTTCAAATCGCACAACACTCTGGAATACATCCAGATGCAGTGGATTGGTATGTGCAAACCTGAAAATCAATTCAAACATGGGTCTTCAGAAAGCGCTAATAATTTAATTAGAAAGTTACTTCTCTGCAATTTCATATGTGCATAACCAAAGGTGCTAGGTACACAGAATCAGGATATACGCAGCAACATCTAGTATAAACATTAATATGCCATCTTACTAACATTGAACAGGCCTCATTTATCAAAGAAAAATGCCCTTCAGACTCACTTCCTCCAATGTAGCTGCACAAAAATCATGATCCAATGAGTAAACTGGCTTAAGCATAATATTAAACAGAAACTAATGTACGAAAACATGTATGTAGCTTTTTATCCAATAATAACAAACATACACTGTACCAGAACATTTTCCTTGCCAAACCACATCCTTTCCTTTGTCGTCTTTCATTTTCTCTATGACTCCTACTCCTAGGCCTGCCCTCGGCAACTCTGCCCTCCAACCATCCCTTTTGGACTTACCACCAGATTGCAACTTATCTACTACCTAAATAGTCAAGGAATCAAAACAATGATATAATACCATTGCCCGATTCAGAAATAGAAAATTTATGTTGGAGAAAAAAAGATCAAGAGAATCATGCGAAAAGGCACACAAACTATATAGATTAAGCATCTGCAATAGTAACTCTTACCAACAGAACTCACCTTTCTGTTACTTATATATATTTCCCATATTAATTTTGAGATTCACAACAAAACCCATATCATATATTAAAACAATAAAACTATTGCCCCAAGGGCCCATAAGCAAGAGCACAGCTCCAAGACCAATTAAGGTACGCAGCGTACGCTCCACAAGAACAGGCTTACAACACGCATATCTGGGCTCCAACTTTTTTGCATATTGGTATGCATCTCTGCCAATATTCATACGTAAGAGAGAACAAATCTAAAGTTTCTGAACTAATGTTGGAATGAATAATATGAAAGAAAAATTTAGGTCCCCCATAGAATGATAAGGGATCACCCTGCTGCACTAATAATAAGGAGATATGCCCTTCCATTTTCTTCCCTTTCTTTTATCTCCTTTGCTGGCACACATTTCTATTAAGGTAGTTGAAAACTCAAAATTGCCTTTCAATGCATAGAAAAAAGATTTGAAGCACTTATCGGAAACGATTTAAGAGATGGTATTGTTTCTATGCCGGAAGGATTTAAATAAACAAATAGAAGTTCAAGTTATTGGCACAATTTAGCATTGGAATGAGTTAATTCAGTGCCCACTAACATGTAGGGAGCATTCATAAAGAACCCTTGAACAGGTCAGAAATTGTAGATCATGCATGATATATAAGTCTAATGATGACCTCTCTGAGCCTCGAGACCAGTCGAGATTGATTAAATATGATAGAAGCTCCTTGAATATAATAGTAATCCATACTGTTTAACTTAGCACCGGAAATGGGGCCAAATGTTTATAATACCCATTAGCATTTGCTTAGAAGCAAATATTGTAGGATTTCAGTAAATGAGCCAATTTATATTCTTTTTGGGTGATTGTAGCATTCTTGCTCTTACCAATTGCCGTATAACACAATCGTTTTTTTAAGGTCATAACATTATGATGATCATTTTTCCCATGAATTTCCCCAATGCCCTGCATCTTTCTGAAAAGCTTCTTTATATCTTACAAGTTTCTTTCTTTCTTACAAGTTTCTGCAGGATATTTGAAAAACATTCCTAAAACCATTACCAAAGGTTCTTCCAAAAGTTTTTGGATCCGTCCCAACATCTGGAGACAAGTTTCAAAGGAAATCCATTTCCCAACTAAACCCAACTTTCTTGTAAAACAACATTAATAATTATTAATTAATTTTTAAGTTTTTAACACCCGACCCTCCTTCCCTCCTTTACTAATAACAAGACCGTCAAAATCATCGACAAAAAGGTCATCATTCAGTGTTGGTAGATTGGCCGCTAGGCCCACCACTATGAAGTTGGTAGACATTATAAGATCTCCAAAAAGTGACAGGACGAAAAAAGTATGGTCCTATGAAACCATGGCAGTTCGATACGGCTTGAGGTTGAAAAACAATAACAAAGGAGAAAACAGAGCACTCTGGGACATGTCCGTTGCTCAAATCCAAGTTTTCTAAGGTTGACTTCCACTGCTGGTAGACAACTCTCAAATTCTCCTTGGAATAATTGCCACAAGGTGAAGACTCAGCGTTTGGGTTATATACAATAAAAGAAGCCATGGACCAACCAATTAAACAGCCATGATTGATCATTTTTTGTGTCATATCAGTACACCAGAGGGCATGTATCAACCATTAATACACATCACCAGTGAAAAAGTTCATCATCATTCAATTCACTCACAGAAAACATAGAATTTTGGCAGCTAATAATTAAATACAGATCTACCCACTTGGAGGTAAGGAGTCCCTAAGTCCCACTGAAACTCGGAAGATCAAACCTAGGTGTTCAGAAAATACCAACACAGTACCAAACCCAATCAACCCAAAAACCACTAGCATTTAATGCCCAACTTGCAGAATACAGTTAATGCGCAATTCTACGAAACCCACCAACTCTTCACAGCACTTATATCATTTTTTATTGCCCAAAAAGCACTTTCTCAGATTTTCACATCAAACAAAAAACCAACAGCACCAACAAAAATCACAGTAACACGAAATTAAATATGTTCAAAAAATTCATCATTAAAAAAAAATATAAAAAAAAATAATAATCATATCTAACCTTTTGTTTCTCGGAATCAATGTAATTTTTCACAGCAGGTACCAACCTGTAGATCAAAATAAAATTAGACAAATCCGTCAACCATAAATTGCTTATTTCAAATGTTTGTGCACAAAAATCTAAATCTACATATACATACCTACTCATGAATATATAATATATATAGAGATAGAGAATAAATTACTTGACGAAACTCATGAATAAGCCTAGAAGCGTTGCTTTGAGTCCCTTGTCGTGAACGACACGGACGAAGGATTGAAGAACCGAAGCGAAGATGAGAGAGAGAAGAGGGGCGAGAAGCAGATTGAGCGGTTCATACTGAGACAGGAATGAATTCGCGGAAGCTCTGAAGCGATTCAGAGAAGACATGAGCGAAGACTCCATTAGACTTGAATGGGATATTCCAGTGACTGCGTGTATAGAGAGAGAAACAGAGACTAATATAGAGAGAGAATGATGGGTCTGGCTGGCCTTTTGGCCTTTTTGTTATCGCGTGACGGAAACGTCTGTTTTATTGGGGCTTGTTTTGCGTTGCGTTCAATGGAGTTGACAGATTTCTGATTGATGCATTTTTGCGTTCACACCCTCTATCAGACGATCTCGATGGCGTGTGCTTTTGATGTAATTGTTCAGGTACAAAGAACAAGAGTGCAATGATGGGGTGATGTTTATTTTATTGTTTATTTTATTTCCATAATTTTTCAATTTTATCTCTTCACGAGTCTTCACAATGTTAGGACTATAAGCCATTCTCAATTATTAGCCATTCTCGATTTTGTTTTATCACGGGTCTTCACCGACAAATGAAAATATAAGATAATTGATTATTTAAAAAGTTATAATTTTTTTAAAAAATTTATCTTAATCTAATATTTTTATTAACGATTAAAATTTTAACCACCATGTATATATATATTTGTTTTATATTTCAAATTGCATCTTTGTTATGACCATTGAGATACTTCAGCTCTTTATACTCGTCTATTACTTCTTCTTTTTTACTTTGATAAGCATTTGTTAATTATTATAATAATTTATCTAATCTCCAAAAACAAAAATAAAAAAAGAAATTTGAAATATATATATATATATATACTAGAAAAATTCACGTGCGATGCACATAATGAAATAAGACATTTTATATAATAAATAAACTTTATATAAAACTCGATATTTTATTTTTTAAAAATAAAAAAAGAATTCAAAAACAAAAATTAGAAGAATACACAAATGAATCAATTCACTTATCATTTGTAAATATTTATTTCATAATGATATTTAACTCAATACAATGGTAACCATGTTATCAAAATAAACAATTAGAATATATTTGTATAATTTAAATATTGTATACCATATCAATTATTGGCTGCTTTTAGATCAAGATTAATAGACATTCATTTTATTACATGCACGTCAATTAACGTTGTCATTTTCTACAGTTAAAAATTTCCAAAGGTGCAAAATCAACTATCACCTAAGGTACTTACCAAGATGTTCGGACCAATTATATTATACAAACTTAAATTATCATAAGTCTTACCGCCTTTTTTACATTTCATCCTCTGCACCTATTCCTTTGTGAATTTAGTCACAATTTCATATGTAGTGTTGGTAACAAGAAATTATGAATTCTCTAAGAAAAAAATTATACGTAGCCTGGTAAACATCAAAGAAACAAACTATCAATAAATACAAATAATACATTAATCAATAATAAATTCAAAGCACTTTTTATATAAGGAGATGAAAAGGTTCTAAAGATAAGGTAAAAAACTGAAATTGAGAAGTTCATTCATCATTGTGTGTGCCATCTTTAAAACTTCATATTAAATAATCTCTTTAAATTTTTTATTTTGACTTAAAAAATAGTAAAAATGTATAAATAACTAAATAAAAAGCTAAAATTGGGAAGTTAATTTAGGGTTTCCTTCAATTTCCCCATTAAATGTTATGTTATCTTTTTAATATTTTATTTTTTAAAATAATAAAGTATTTAGAAATAAGAAAAACTATAATCCAAACAAACATATTTGATAAGAGATGTGAAAAAAAAGTCACATATAGCTAAACTTAATTAGTAAAGTATTTTAAATATATATATTTTATAAACATATACGTAATACTTTACTAATTAAGTTTAATTCTTTGCCTCCAACTATAGGAATATAATAATAAATAAAAACAGAAATAAATACATCTAACTAATAAATAAAAGCAACACACATAACCAACAAATTCAATATATACTCCAACCTTGTGTGTGTGGTGAAAAAATAATACAATTGGTATAAATAATCAATACTAATTAAAGGATAAATATACAATATTTACGTAGGAAGGAGAGAAAAATTATTCATGAACAAAGGAAAAAAAAAGAAAAGAACTAATTCACGAACAATTACACTATAATAATTAAGAATATTTACTACAATAAAAGAGAAATACCAAACAATTTCTAAATTTCTAAAAAAAAAAAAACCATATTTTGTATCCATGTATGTGTGTACATATATATATAACACACATACTTGTTCAATTATCTTGGAACTAATTCAAATATTTGTTTTAGTTGTGTTGCACTCTTTGAACTTTTTATTAGACACAACTAATTTTCCATTGGCCTTTGATGTTTTTACATTCTTTTTTTAAATAAAATTTATTTTCTTTGTCTTTCCTTTCCGAAAAAATATATATATATTTAATGTTAAATTATTGTTATTTTGGCTTTAAATGGGAGATACGGTTTCTATAGATTCTTTTGTGGAGTTCTTGATAATTTGTATTTTTATTTTAGTTCTTCATTTTTTCGTTTAGTGGTTGCAAGTGCTACCTTGTACACCTTTTATGACATTTTAAATATAAAAAAAATTAAAAATTATACAACAATCGAAACTCTTCCCGTTAAAATAATATATATTTTTTGTAACCCAGAAAAACAGTGCCAAAAACTTAAAAAAAGAATAAGATATATATAGCTCAATAAGTTAACATTTAACAATCAACGTGACAAATAATCAGAAATGAATTAAGTTTTATATCAAAAAAAACATATTTAGGATATGCTTATTAGACACGAGTTACTTACAGATTTACCACTCAAATTCATGTATGTTTATGACTTTGCAAGGAGGACAGAACATCACCAACAAAACCTGAAAGTAAAGAAGAAAAAATAATCATAAATTTGCATAGAAGCAACATTATATATAAACTTTCAAAAAAAAAAAAAATAACATTATATATACACAAACGAAAAGAGAATGAGTCATGTAAAGTGTAATATTTGATAAGATATGAACAATTCTATTAAATTGGTAGAACATTTAGAGAAATGTGGGGGGAAAAAACCAAATAACATTACAATTTAAATATTAAAGAAATATGATTACCTTGCATTGCAATAAAATCTCAGGATCAACACTAATAAGGAAAAATAAACCTAACCTACCTTAACCTAATGATAGAGGCAACTAAGTGTTGACCAGCTGCTAGACCTCTTCGACTTTCGAATGATGATGTTTCCATTGGATAAGAATAATAATATTTCATTATCAAGGATAATGAAAGATGGTGTAGATTAACAAGGTAAGGATAACCGTGGCATAATTTGAGGAAGTCAAAAGGGTTAAATCATATCTCCGACAAATCTAACAACAAGCGGATCTCCTCTGATCTCGCACAAGCGGATCTCCTCTGATCCAGCAAATGAACTGAGGGAGAGCGATTATAAGAATGAGATCCTACCAGTCAATTAGGAATCACAAAAAACGATTATTAAATCCCTGTCTTTCTTTTAGACCTCCGATGACTGATTTGATCGTCGGAGAGCTCTTGGCAGGCATCACACCAATGCCATCAAGATTCATCAATTTTCTACTCTCTTCTTTGCAGGAAAACGGTGTCGTATCGGATCGTGTGGATTTCTCCCCTAACAGTTGGCGCTATCTGTCGGAAACTACGATTCCCTTAAATCAATAAATTACTCAGTTGAGTATATGCACTTGCAATCCAGTATGATAATTGGAAAAGAAACATTGTTGTAGGGATCCAGTCAAAGAGAAGGATCGGATGAACACCCAGACGTCTCGAATGACCAGGAACGGCTTGCAGCATTAGAACCACAGGTCCAAACTCTGAATCGGGGTATGGACCAGTTGATCCAGCAAAATACAGAGATCCTGCAACATCTTATCCCAGCGGGACCACCACCTCAACAAGAATTATCCGACCCATATCCTCCCAATCTGAATGATGGGGGACAATATGAGGAAGACAGAGAAAATGATCCTCCTCACAAGTTCGAGGCAGAACAAAGCAAAGTCGGAAACTAACACAGAGAACCTCCTTCCCCGCCTCCGCGGAATCTCCAGCCTCAAGCAGGCGCAACCTTCTGTGTTAAGGAAAAAACAGAGAAAGTTACCAATTTCGACCTACAGATCGAGGATATCAAGAAGAAAATAAAAGATGTAATGCATGCTATGAAAGGGAAAGGTCCTGCCACCATAGATGACCTGGTGTAGAGGGCCAATTTGTCATATAGCCCCGCCGTTATGAAATGCTCCCTGCCTAGGAAGTTCAGGATGCCCTCGTTCGAAAGCTTCGATAAGACCAAAGATCCCCTTGACCACCTAGAAACCTGATGAGCGCTGAAAAGTGCGCATTTTTACTCCTTAAGCTTAGGTATTTTAGAACCTTTATCTATCTTATTTTCTCGCTTTAGATTAATTTTGTATTATTTCCATTTTCAGGTACTTATCCCCAAAATAAGCTAACTCAGCTAAATAAGAGCATAATTGTAATACCCCTAATTTTCAAAAGGATAGTCTCGGTATTTTTTGATTAATTGTTTTCATTTCATTTATTGTTTTATTTAATGTTTAATTGGTTTAATTATAATTCGTTGATAGTTTGACCTGGTTGTTGACTTTGTTTAATTTTATTTTCTTACGTGTGTTATTTAATTTTTAATTATTTGTTAAATGTTTTACTTAGTTTTATTTGGTTAATTGGTATAAAGTCTAATTGGTAATTAAAGTAAAATGGTTAATTTATTTTTAAAAAAAAAAAAAAACAACCGTGACTGTTGTATCGTTCCATTAGGTATACACAGTAGCCGTCATGGTATAAACTTGAAACTTCTGTTATGGGCCGAGCATATCCAATTAGGGTTGAGGGAACTTAGGATTTGTGTGGCCTATAAATACTCACTTAGGGGTCTGCCTAGGGTTTTAAGAAGAGGATTACAACATCGTAAGTCTGAGGTAGTTTTAGAGACGGTAGGAAAACAGAGAGCAAACAGAGGAGAGTTTCACCGAAAAATATAAACGAACGTCGGTGGGAGGCAAGTTCTATCCTTACTCTCTCCCTTAGGCTTCGTGTTCTTTACATTCCTAAATAATTCTAGGATTGATTAAAGCAATGAAAACGTTATCTATTTATGCTACAACTTGAATTATAACAATATGTTTGCATGCTTGCTAAAACTGTTAAAACGTAATTTTTGCTTGCATAATTCTCTGTCTAAACCTATGTATGGAATTTAATTAAGACTTAAACATGGACTGGGAACATTCTGGGATTGGGTTATAACTTCTGGAAACCATAGCAGTAGGGTG